ATTTTATTTTATATACATATATATCCTTTCCTTCCTTTAAATGCTCAAATATTATCTTCTTATTTTTAGCTCACCTGTCACAAAGTGACATGGTGAGCTTTTGTGATCGCTTTTCGTCCGGCGTCCATCCGTCCGTAGACTTTTACTTTAAATGACATCTCCTCATAAACCACATAGCTAATTTCATCCAAACTTCACAGGAATGTTCTTTTGGTAGTCAACTTTAAAAATTGTTCAAAGAATTTAATTCCAAGCAGAACTCTGGTTGCCATGGCAACCGAAAGAAAAAACTTAAAATATCTTCTTTTAGAAAACTGCAAGAGCTAGAGCTAAAATATTTGGCATGAAACATCACCTAGTCATAGTCTACCAAGTTTGTTCAAATAAATGCCCTGGGTTCAAAATTGGCCCCGCCCCAGGGGGTCATTGATTTTCCTTATTTGTATATAGGAAAAACTTAAAAAATCTTCTTCTAAAAATCCCCAAATAGCTAGAGCTTAAATATTCAGCATGAAACATCTTCTAGTAGGTGTCTACCAAGTTTGTTCAAATAAATGCCCTGGGGTCAAAATTGGCCCCGCCCCAGGGGGTCATTGATTTTCCTTATTTGCATGAAGTAAAAACTTAAAATATTTTCTCTTAGAAAACCGCAAGAGCTAGAGGTTAAATATTTAGCATGAAACATCAACTTTTCAGTGTCTACCAAGTTTGTTCAAATAAATGCCCTGGGGTCAAAATTGGTCCCGCCGGGGGGGGGGGGGGTCATTGGTTTTCCTTATTTTATATATAGTAAAAACTTAAAAAATCTTCTTTTAAAAACCCCATATAGCTAGAGCTTAAATATTAAGCATGAAACATCTTTCAGTGGGTGTCTACCAAGTTTGTTCAAATAAATGCCCTGGGGTGAAAATTGGCCCAACCCTGGGGGGTCATTGATTTTCCTTATTTGCATATAGTAAAAACTTAAAATATTTTCTTTTAGAAAAACGCAAGAGCTTAGATATTTGGCATGAAACATCACATAGTCAATGTCTACCAAGTTTGTTGAAATAAATGCCCTGGGATCAAAATTGACCCCACCCTGAGGCGTTATTTTCTAGTTAGCGTCTTCCAAGTTTGTTTAAATAAAAGCCCTGGGGTCAAAATTGGCCCCTCGAGTGGGGGTCATTGTTTTTTCCTATATGTGTGTAGTAAAAACTTTAAAAAAAATCTTCTTTTTAAAACCCCAAAGAGTTAGATATTTATCATGAAACATCTTCTAATCGCTGTCTACCAAGTTTGTTCAAACAAAAGTCCCTGGTTTAAAATTGGCATTGGCTCAGGGGGCTATATACAGGTGAGCGATTTCAGGGCCATCATGACCCTCTTGTTTTTTATTCTTTGCTTGGTACTAAGTATTTGAAAAAAATATGTATTTTGATTAAAAATTGCCAAAACCAGAATAGTGTTTTTATTTTAAAAAAAAATGACTTAATTTGTGGCCAATGAGAATCAGTGCTTATGTTAATAATACAACATTGCAGGTCAGTGCTCCAATATTGAACCTATTGTTAAGACAGTTTATTGAACTGCAGGCGATTTACGTCATTTAATCTGCAGACTAATGGTCGCATATTTGAGAAAAACGAGGCAGTCTATTAAGCGTCTGCAGATTTTTGTTTGTTTGTTTGTTTGTTTGGATTTTTACTGCACGTCAACACATACCTGGCCATATCGTGCCGAATGCTATAATTCGGCACAAAAAAAATCTGCAGACGCTAAAAAGACTGCCTAATTGCAGACGCTAGTCGTTTTTCTCGAGATATACGAAAGAGGTAAGACCATAAGTTTGGTTCTCTGACTACCGGAAGTACATCGGGCCAAGAACTTTTTAATCAATCCTCGTATGGTAAAAATACTACAGAATACACACGCTTGGTAGACTGAATAATTGCAGACGGATGTCGTCCTTCCATAGATATATATGCTAATAAGACTGACGAATTGCAGACGAATGTCGTCCCTGTATAGATATATATATATGCTAATAAGACTGACAAACTTTTTTCAGCCGATAAGACGCTAAACAATTATCCACGAGCTCTTGAAAATCGACCGGCATCTTGTCAAACACCAGGAACACATTGGAACCATTTGGACGACATTACTTTCGAATCCCACGAGGTTGTTTGGAGGAAACTATCCAGCTAACTTACGAACGTTGGTGTGTTGTATTCAGGTGCCCGCTCGTGCCTGAACGGGAAACTAAGGTCTCCCTCCGTCAGTAATGCTGGAAAGTCGTCTGATAATCTTTACAATGTCGTTGTAAAAAATATAAGACAAATTAATGAGACCTAGCATATTTTTTTCTTATTGCACAGCAAGATTATCATGTCTTAATGACATGCACTGTATGATGGTAAAACAGCTTGTCAAAACAGGTAAAATGTACGTGTTAAAAGTAAGGAAAATAAATTGATATTTAATATCCATGGGACATTTTGTGTGGTTTATTCGGAATTATTTTCCTCCTTATATTTCTTTACAAACTAATGAAATAAGGGCGTGTATTTGTATAATTTGATACAGTTGAGGATATTGACTGTGCTAGTTTAAAGGCCCATTTAGTCTTAAAAATCACCTTTTAACTTCTTCAAAAAGGTCAATCGAGTTTTATATTTTTCAGTAAAGAATAAAGAGCAGAAAAATAAAGAGCATGATATATGTTAAATAAGACTGGAGGAAGTAGCACTGAACGTGCGATAAAATGTCTTAAAGGTAGCAAAATGTTAACAAAGTAGTATTTTGATTTACAAAAAAACACTATATCAGTAAAATTATACCTATTCCTAAAGAGGAAAAAGTTCATTTGTATAATAATCTTGTTTATAAATTTGCACAATTTAATATTTTGAAATCTGTGTTTTCCAAACAGAGTATGTTCTGTTCTGGGGCGTCCGTGGCCGAGTGGTTAAGGTCGTTCACTTCAAACCACTTGCCATTCACCGCTGTGGGTTCGAATCCCTACAGGGACTTTGAATTTTTTCATGTAACCTTACGGAACGTCGGTGGTTCTACTCAGGTGCCTGTTCGTGTCTGAGATCTTCCTCCACCAGCAAAGCTGGAACGTCGACATATGCCATGTAATCTGTCGGTGTGACGTAAAATCCATTCAAACAAACAAACAAACAAAATATTCTGTTCAGTTATGTATGACCGATGAGTAACTTTTGGAAAAAGTAACCAGATCACCGACATATATTTTTTTCATATAAAAATGATAAAATTTTGACGGTTGTCAATTTGTTTCTTTGTCAAAATTGCACATTTCAAAAAAAGATATAAATAAACAAATAAATAAAATTAAAAGCTTTGATTTGACAGCGTGGCAAATACTTATTTACACGTAACCGTCGAAATATCATTATTGGATATACGTACTAACAAACAATCGGTGAATAACATTGAAAATGTCAAGTGTTTTACTTATGTTATCATGTTAAAGGCGACGAACATGTAATGTTCATATGCTGAATAAATAATTGAATTGACTAATGAATATAAACAAAGACCATTGTTGCAAAAAATAACAAAGACAACAAAAACCACAAACTCAAAGCAGAAAGTCAAGAGACACTTGTCTTGTTATTTCAATAATCACGTGTTATTGTATTGTTAATACAACTTTGTTGCTCAGTTTAACGTCATGTGAGTTATCTTAAGTCACGTGACTGTACATGTATATTTGTGAATATAGTTTTAATTGTCTTATGAACGTTAACTTTGAAAAATATTACAAACAAAATATGCCAGAAACATTACGTATAAAATCTTTTTTTTTATTCAAAACAACCAATTCGGTTGTTTTTGTACTTCGCTAAAATGATGTTTACACTTTGTGACGTTTACACTGTATGATGTTTACACTGTATGGTGTTTACACTGTATGGTGTTTACACTGTATGTGTCAAATATAGTTTTTTTTTCGCAAAAGTAATCAAAGTTTAGCCGACTTATCTTTTTTAACTGTCGGCTTGGCCATAATTGAATGCTAAAATGACGCCCTCTTGTACATGTTTATCCTATAAGATTTGCATTAATTAGTGTACTTGTTTACAAATACTTGAGTTCATGATGATCAAATGTACACGTTTTTTTACATAAAAGTAAGTATTGTAAAGTTTCACGTCTAATAAAATTATGTCATCGAACGTACATAAAATGATTATGACCTTAATCATGAATGACGTAAAAGAAAAATTTACGCGTTTTCATTTTTCAGTTGTTTTGTGCACTTCGCCATTAATTAAATACCCCCCCCCCCAAAAAAAAAAAAACAAAAAAAAAACAAAAAAAAACAAATAAAAAAAATCACTATTGCAACTGTTCCACCTACTTCATAAAACATTTTTTCATTTAAAAAAAAACATGTCAACAGAAAACGTAAAAATTTGATTTTACTGTTGCCCCCTTTATTTCACCATTTTATAACACTGCACGTTTGTAACGTCGCTTTTCATTGGATAATCGTGACGTTTATATAGTTTTATATACACGGCTGCTGTCGATTCATGAAGAAATCTTACTTTTTCTCTAAAAATGATGATTGCTGTATTATAAATTCGTTATAAAGATTGTTGACAGGTTATATGACCGTATATATATAAACGGCTGTTTGCCATATAACCCTCGCCTAGCGGCTCAGGTCATATTTACAAATAGCCGTTTATATAGGGCCATATAACCTGTCAACAATCTTTATAACCAATATTATACACACTCAATACTTATAAGGCAACATCATTTTGGTTGTAGCTAAGAGATACCGCTCTAGAGATGTTACACGTATCTTGTACTCTTACCATTCAGCAGATTTTATAGTGCTGATAAAAAGGTGACCGCTGTGCGAAGGTTGCACTGTATTAAATTGAAAGTATTAACGAACAGAAAATTGCATATACATGTATGAAAGTTATCATACATCCGGTAAGAAAAGCTATTCATTTTCAGTAAAACAACAATTGTCCTTCATAAGTGTTTCGTATCATGTGCCTATGTTATCATTAAGCGAAACTTTTTTGCATTGTTTTCTTCCGCGTGTACACACTCAAACGGTTAATATTAATGTTGAAATCACTTGGACACTGTATTTCAAAAGTTATAGACATTGTACTTATATAGGTATGTTGTTTTTAGAAATTATATATTCATATATTTATTTCGATTTTTGCTTAGCATATTATCAATACTGATTTCTTTTTATTGTAATTACTTTGCCTACGAATGGGTCCTGTTTGGGCCATTTGAAATGTCGCCTTTGACATGCGATACTAGTATATACAGTTAATCTTTTGTGGTGACCTCGCGAGGATATAATTTTATTGTTGCGAGAATCCGCCTTTGACATGTGATACTTCGACTAGTAGTAAATCTCATTTGGTGACCTCGCGAGAGTATAATTTTATTGTATTGCGAGAATCTAAGTTAAACTTGCGAGAAATTAAACGTTTAGAATCGTAAGAATGTAACAAATAATTTAATTAAAAGGTCGACGTAAGAGATTTAGTCAAAATCGCGAATGTTGGTTTAAACATATTTATTTAAGCTCGATTACGAAATAAGTTATTGCAACTTAATTTAATCACTTTCGAGTCTGCTTCCTGGAAACAACCAGTACTGGTGTCATATGAAGAAACATGGTCGTGACCCGATTAGGGTTCGAACCAATGATCTCTGGGTTGAGAGGTAGATACCTTAACCAATAGGCCACCGCTCCCCTTTGCGAATGTCAACAGGCGACATTTGAATGGCGTCAACTGGACACCGTATCTTTGTGACGTGAGTCTGCAATAAACGCAGGTTCCGTTTATCTTTTTAAAATGGCAAAGTTTTCGTAAAAACTATATTCAGTTGAACATAAAAAATTACTATCCATCACCTGTTTTCTATACATGTATATATTCTATAGTTATTCAGCACAGTAGATGACTTATATCAAACTAAATTGTAGAACAGATTTCGTGTTTGTATGGATATTTTGACAGTAGAATTCTTTTATCCTATTGCGGGACATGCCAAAATTAATAACAAAAATACAAACTAACTTATCATAAAATTTATATAATCTAGCTAACTATATAACATTCATACAATCTAGCTAATTATAACATTTATAATATCTAGCTAATAATATAACATTTATACAACCTAACTAATTATAACATTTATACAACCTAAATATTAATAACATTTATATAACTTAGTAGAATATCTACCTTCCTAGTCATAACATTTACACAACCTAATTATTTAAAACATTTGTACAACCTAAATAACTATAACATTTATGCAACCCAACTAATTATATCATTAATGCAGGCTAGCTAATATAATAACATTTATACACCCTAACTTTTCATAACCTTTAAACAACCTAACTATTCATAACAGTTATACAATCTAACTAATTATTACATTTATACATCTTAATTTATCATAACATTTACACAACCTAACTAGTATATCATGTTTAACAACCTAACTAATTATATAACATGTACACAATCTTTCTTATTATAAAAATTATACTATCTAGCGTAGTATAATATTTATACAAGCTAACTAGTTATACAGTATTACATTTATACAACCTAACGCTTTATAACATTTATACAACTCAACTAATTATAACATTTATGGAACCTAACTAATTACATTGTATAACATTAAAATTTTATACAATCCATTTATACAATCTAATTAATTCTAACATTTATACAACCTAACTAATTATAACATTTATAAACGTGCTTTATTCTTATGACTGACCGAGTATATATATTTTTTAGACTGTTTGGAAATGAACAAGTTTTTAGTTGCTGGTTTAGTGGTATGTGTACTTGCTACTATTGTATGTATACTCAGTACTTCCATACCATACTGGCTATATGGACATTCCAAATCATATGGGATAGAAACGTCGGTAGCGTCTGGCCTCTGGCAGGTTTGTGTTAGAAGTAAAATCCAGAGTTCAACAGAAACATCGTGTTTCAAAAACAGTGGTGAGTTAAAGACACCGATCATCGTAATTTTTGACAATTGTATTGATAATGACGGTTAGTTGTCTATAACCACATTAAACACTTTCAACAAATTATTTTTAAATTATTAAAATAAAAAATATATAAATTAAAAATCCAACAATGTATAATCGCTCTGACGGCTGAAGTCAAAGCCTAAGTATCAACCAATAGTAGTTATGATGCAAAAATGTCCTTTAAAATGTTATTGAACACTTTTTTCAATGTAACTAGATCTACGTCAAAAAGTTTGTTTCGGTTTTCCCTGCGAGCTGAACGGCTTTGTGCTATAACGGACGCCATCATAAACAATATTCATTTTACGAAATAATTTTACCAATGGCTAATCAGTGCATGGAAATACTAAGTTTAGATTTAGAATGAACAAAACTAACACACCTGTATCATTTTCATAATAATTTATATATTATTCATTATTATATAATAATTCATATACTATTTATCTCGTAGATTTGGCATCATGGATGAAAGCGGTGCGAGCTATGATGATTCTTGGTATACTTTTTATGGCAATGAGCGCTGCTATTGCGTGCTTATATCTTGTGAAATTCTACACGAATAATCATGTCTATATCTGCACGGTTTTCACGGCAGCTCTAGGAGGTTTGTATTGGTTTATTTCTCTCTTAATAATGCTGCATTTTTGTTACGTCAATTTTCATTGGATAATCGTAAAGTTTATATTTTTCTTTGTACATGTTTATGCACAAAGAATCTTAAAGTGTAGCTTTATAATTTCATTGGTTTATATATATATGTTTGCTCCCCATATAACTCTCGTCATTGGCGTTATATAACCTATATAACCATCGCTAAGGGCGTTATATAACCCTCGCCAAATACGTTTTAAAACATACATAGCCCTAGCAAAGTGGCGTTATTAACCCAAATAACCCTCGCTAAGTGGCGTTATATAACCCATATAACACTAGCAACTGGCGTTATATAACCTATATAACCCTCGTCAAAGACGTTATATAACCATGAAAACTTGAAAATTAACATTTTGAATAATGTAAACAGTATTGCTTCATATTTTCATTTCCTCATCGGACATTGCCAATAAATGTACAAAATAAGTGAACGATATGTTTAGCAGTTCGTAAACTTTTCATTTTTTTCTTACATAAACTATATTCTTATTTTTTTCCAAATCAGGTGTGTTCGTGATTGTCGGGTTCGTTGTTTATGCCAGTGAATTTAACAAGGAAAATCAAACTGCAGTCCATTTAAGTGGCGCATTTTATTTGGCTGTCTTATCAGCTGTCCTGGCGTTCGTTGCGGCAAGCCTGTTTGTCATTTCGAGAAGGTCCGCTGGAGGGTATAACACAATTTAGAGTCCGCATACCGTAAAATTTCAGTTGAAATACTTGTAGAGATGACGTCATTTCATTTTTGGTTTTATTAATGGTGACAACATATTACTTTCTAATATTTGCATTTTATTGGATCTTTCACGAAAACAAAATAAATACCTAGTGTTTTATGTGGCCCCTTAACCTTATATAAACTTTGAAGCTACTTTCCCACTCACAACAAGCCTAAAAACATCAAACAGTTTCCAGTTTCACTTGACACAGAAATAAACACCCATATTTATCACACCCACTATTTTAACATGTAGCGAGGACAGCTTGATGCAGGTAAAACTTCAATATAAATGAGCCGCGTCACGACAAAACCAACATAATGCGTTTGCTTCCAGCATGGATCCAGACCAGCCTGCGCATCCGCGCAGTCTGATCAGGATTCATGCTGTTCGCTGTCAGTTTCTCTACTTGTTATAGGGTTTGTAAGCGAACAGCATGGATCCTGATCAGATGGCTGGTCTGGACCCATGCTGGTCGCAAACCCATTATGTTGATTTTGTCGTGACGCAGCTCAAATGTCAGTTTTAAACCGAATTTCTAAGATATGTTCTTTTTTTGTCTGTTTTTATAGACATAATTTTCTATCATATATTCTGCAGCAATCGATTGCTGAATAAAAAACTTACCCAGCGCCAAATTGTTCTACCCGTAACCAAACTTATTTACTTGCAACAAGTTAACGGGTGTGATTACAACTTTAGTCGTTGCAACGGTTTAAAAATACAGCAGAAATATTTTACTTTGATGTTTTTTTTCGTCGGACAAGATCATGTATTTTTTCGTCGGACAAGATCATGTATTAATCCCCAAGCTACATGTAAATGTAAGAGCCTGTGGTGCAATTTTACTAGTATCTTTTGATGTCATTTTACATGTATTTCAAAAATGCCCAAACTACATTGTGTGGGATAGTAGCTTCAATCATCAATGTTGCGTTTGTAACGATAAAACTATTTTGTAATTATATATATTATGATGAATAAAGTTTTGAGAGGAAATTGCTTTTTTGATTTTCTGTTCATGATAAATGAATGAAAACAAAATACATCATATACCGTTTATAAATAAGTCAAACACAGAAATGTCTTCCCGTCTGTGCGTGGCGTGTACGGCACATGGGCATCGGCTGAATATTTGCGGCTTGGCGGATAGAAAACTTTTATACTAAACTGCCAGTTCTCGGATTTCTTCTTCGATCAGCTGACGATGTCCCGACTGAAGCCGAGGGGAGTGGCACTACAATGTAGGCGGAGACGACGAGGAAAGTGTGCTAGGGTGCGCAAGCACATATATTGACGGCTTAAAAGGCAGGACCTTTGCTGGCACAACAACCCTTTTCAGTGCTATTTCCTTTTCATATTGTCTCAGTTAACTGTACATTTAAGTTCTCATTGACCACTGTATAGGGACCTACTTTAGGCTGAAAATTCATATATTTGGCTTATACTTATAGGAAATTGTATGGAGGTAAATTATCACCACTGTGTGCTTCAAAATTAACTCTTTAGGGGCATGGCTGCTGACATATTCCGGATCCGTATACTCGACAGCAAAAGCTACATTTAGTCTCTAATAGGACAGATGGACACACATCATCATTATCATCAAATATTAAATATAGCTGTCATATTCACCGTGGGTAAGCAACTTTGGTCATGTGACCACAGAAATCAACGTACACGGCCAAAATAGCTCGGTTGAGGTAAGTTTTTTAGTGGTTATGTTTCTGTCCAGCCGATTTAAATTATGCTACATAGCCTACCGACCGCGGCAGTTCCGATGCTTTCTAAAAATGTATTTAGTTTCGTCTAACGTTTTGTATTTTATGAGAACATTTAAACAATATTTGCAAATTGTCGATCACAACGTACACACTATTGTGTTTTAGTGTTGATGAAAATTTAATAAACGATACGCATGTCAGTTCTAAGTAAAATTTCAGGTCTTAAAATATATAAGAGAATGTTTTAATGAAAAAAAGAACTGGTTTCCTGTTGTCTTTTTTTGTATTTATTAAAAAATTGACCAACTTACAGAAATGTCAACGTACACACTCACAATTTAGTTTGATAGTGGTCTGAACATGAGGCTGCAACTTCGAAATAGGTGGCTTTTTCCAACAAAAAATTAGCTTTTAATTTAGATTGCCCTCGCAAGCTGTATATAATTACTTTTTTTTACAAAGGAAATAGTTTAGAGTGCATTCATTTCATCGCAAATAAGCTTAAACAACCTTTAACTTTTTATGTTATTTATTTGTACTTTTGTTTTTTAGAAGACAAATTTCCAGTTACCCATTACTGCTTAATGATTAGTTGAAACAGCCGTTTTTATATTTTATACTGTATTAATATAGTTCGTATTACAATATAGATCGTAATTACAGTAATCTTAATATAATAACGTAAACAACCAGGATAATGGTCTGTTGCTTCACCAACTAGTGCCTTCGTAGCAGCAAAAGGGTCCAAAGTTGACGATGACGCCGAGTAACAATTCAATATTATCGGTTTTTCAGCATTTGCGTCACTTGATCCCTATGATGTTCTATTAACATTATATTTTCAAGAATATATCTACTTGCACTTGCTATGTAAAAATATCTTATAAACAATTCACCATTTTATATGTTGGTTAAGGCAACCAAATACCCTTTGTTAAATGGTTAGTTACTGGTACCAAGTTTCTAGAAAATGCTTTTACTACTCAAGAAATCAGTTACTGGAAAATGGTTACTAGTAATAAATTTACCGGAAAATCGTTTCTAGTAATAATTATATTTACCTATCTTATTTTGTGCGCAATGTATGAGCTATAGATATGAATATCAATGACATTGTTAAAATATTTAAACATGATGTAATCATAGGGTTAAAGTGACATAACTGCTGAAATACCGGTACTACCTATAAAATAGTCACTTGGCGTCATTGTCAACTATGGCAACTTTTGTTGCTACAGAAGGCACTAGGTTGGTTAAGCAAGAGACGCTTATCCTGGCTGTTTAGGTTATCAAATGACTGTAAAATGATCTTATTTGATACAGTTTACAATTGCTGTTTCAGCAAATCATTAAGCAGCCTGAGTAACTTTTTTTTCTTTCTAAATGAAAACCACAAAAGAACAAATACATAACATAATAAAACAGTTAAAGGTTGTTTAAGCTTATTTGTGATGATATGAATGCACTTGCAACTGTTTTCCTTAAACCTGTACTTATATACAGTTTGAGAGGGCAATCTAAATAGAAAGCCAACTAGCTTTTTGTTAGAAAATGCCACCTACTCCGAAGTTGCAGACCACTATCAATCTGAATTGTGAGTGTGTACGTTGACATTTTCTAGACTGTATGTGTACCTTGACCAGTTCTTTTTTCATTAAAACATTCTCTTATATATCTTAAGACTTGAAATTTTACTTACAACTGATATGCGTATCGTTTATTAAGTTTTCATCAACACTTTCACACAATAGTGTGTACGTTGTCATCGACAATTTGAAAAATTGTTTGAATGTTCTCATAAAATACAAAACGTTAGACGAAACTAAATACTTTTTTAGAAAGCATCGGAACTGCCGCGGTCGGTAGGTTATGTAGCATAATTTAAATCGGCTGGACAGAAAAATAATCACTAAAAAAACTTACCTCAGCCGAGCTATTTTGGCCGTGTACGTTAACTTTTGTGGTCACATGACCAAAGTTGCTTACCCACGGTGATATTTGGGGCGTTTATATCACCACCGTTACTGCACTTAATAATACTTAAAAATAATGCATATTTTATTTGAGTAACAACTGTTCATATACATATATATTGAATATGATGAGTGTTAATCTAAATTATGTGAAAAAAATACATGTAGATATACGACATCACTATTGTGCTTGTGGTATTTTTGTTCTACCTATTCGGAATCTTTCGTGTTAGGTGGTTCCAGTATTCCACACTTGAATACTGTTGAATCACCCTTAGGATATGAGGCCTGCTTTTTAAATTTGTCTTTTGACGTAATATCTGTGATATGCAGGCTTCATAACCTCAGATCCCCTTTCAAAATTCCATTTTATTTAGTTCCGCCCATTGTTTTCTCGTTTAGGGCACACGCTTTTTTTTACTTGGGGACCATATGCCGCTTTTCATGGAATGGCACTAACGTGTGACATTGAAGGTTCCATGATAACCGCCATATGAACACATCTACGGATGTTTCAAAATTCTAAATTTTACCAGTTCATGTTAAATTCAGCTTCAGCCGGTGCTGGCGGGCGTGGACGGTAGTTTGCAATTGACAGCACCGTCCATGAACAGGCTCAATCAAACCGAGCCTGCAACATTTTCAATTTTGCCGTGCTGGGCTTTCTTTAGGGATTCTTATTTCACTCTATTGTATATTTCAACGATATAACATGGATTAAAGTATCTATATATAAATGTAATATGCATTTTGCTGATAAACCTTAAATAAGGGTGGCTGATTTGTGACATGTATTTTTGTTTCGCGGGGCCCCAGTCAAAAACACGAGATTAATTATTGTGGCTGATTTGTGCTATGTTGTACTTTCGCTCTGCAGGGCGCCAAGCGAAAAATTATATGCAGCCACCATAACACCTTAATGTATCCTTTTTCATATTATTAGCCGGTGAATGAATTATAAATCAAATGAAAAGTTTGTGCAGATTGATTGCATCAATTAAAACTCCAAGGACTTTGAAAACATGGAAAGATTTTTATTGGACAAAATGTAATTTCAACCACTAAGTAATGATAAAATAGAAACCGTTTACTATTTAGCAGAACCAACAAAAAGATTTATACTATTTAATAAAGAATACGACAATAAATAAATGCTTTTTTCATTAAAGGCACATTATTCCTAAAAATAACATTTTGCTTTTTAGGAAACGGCAAATATGAGTTTTATAATGTTAATAAAATGTACGATTTTTATTGGACAAAATGTAATTTCAACCACTAAGTAATGTTAAAATAGAAACTGTTTACTATTTAGCAGAATCAACAAAAAGATTTATACTATTTAATAAAGAATACGACAATAAATAAATTCTTTTTTCATTAAAGGCACATTATACCTAAAAATAATATTTTGCTTCTTAAGAAAGAGCAGACATGAGTTTTATAATGATAATAAAATGTAAGATGCTTATTACCTGACGAAAGTAGTGATCATGAGTGATGAATGTGAACTTATTTGTCATCAATGTAGCAATATGTAAAAAATAAATTATTATGGCTTCCATTCACTATAATTTTACTAACTACGGAATTCCATTAACGACAGCATCCGCGCAGTCTGATCAGGATCAATGCTGTCCGCTATCCGTTTCTCTACTTAAAATAGGGTTTGAAAGCAAACAGCATGGATCCTGATCAGACTGCGCGGATGCGCAGGCTGGTCTGGATCCATGCTAGTCGCAAACCCACTATGTTGGTTTTGTCATGACGCGGCACATATATACTTCTCGTTCAACGCAGCAGAAAGATGAGTAAACATAAAGTGTTCGCTTGTCAAACTGGTGCACTTTCATATAGCATGTAGATTTCCCACAGTGAATGTAGAAAACTACCACCATATATCACTGTTGTACAGCGTCCACCGGATATAGCCTCTAAAAACACAGAAAACGAAAGTAGAAAGCTGCACAACGAGTACACCATTTAATTTGCAAACAAAAGCAAATATTGCTCTAAAACTAGAAACATTTAGCTTCACAAAATTGTTTAGTTTGGAAAAATCGATGAAGTTATGATGAAGAAATAAGTTAAAACATTACCTCGGGTGTACTCGGTGTGCAGCTTTCTACTTTCGTTTTCTGTGTTTTTAGGGGCTATAACTGGTGGACGCTGTACAACAGTGTATATGACGTAATTGGCAATTTGTATAAAGTATAGTACCAGCGTATTTAGGACGGATGCCTTATATGCCATTAAACGTTGCTGTTGTTGCTGTTTGTACATTAAATATACTTTGGTCATT